CAACATGCTGAGGGCTCACTAATATTGCAACTGGTGATTCTAGGTCACTGTATTTATTTTGCCTTCTCTAACATTGTTGCATCAGAGAATGAAAAGAAGGCTGAATTCAAGGTATAGAGGTGTCAAGAGAGAATTAGATCATGAATGAACCATCCCTACTGAGGCATTTGTTCATTGAAAATATATTAGTTGAATGCAATCCCATGCCTGGCATGTGTGACAGTAATGGGCAAGATAATGTGTCTCCTGCTTTCATGGAATATATGTTCTCCTTCCCAGTGTTGCATCTTCCACAGCATATGTAAGTACCCCCATCATTTTCTGTCCCTCTACCTCAACCCAGGTTCTGGGAAGTCCTTGTGCATGACTTCTACTCAATTCTGTAATGCGTATTACCCTTCCTGGCTGCACACACTCTGTTCTACTCTCAGCCTTTGTTCTAGGGATTTTTTCCTACTCTCTTCTCTTCTACCCAAAGTCAAGAACATTCCTTATCTCAGCTATCCCTTACCTGTTTCCAGGCATGACCTGCTTCCAGGTTTCTATAATGACAAACATCTTCTGAAATTGAGCAGAGAAGCAGAGAAAGGGAGCTGGGGCCACTTTCTAAAATTATGAACCTGTGAAAGCCAGGGACTCTGTAACCCAGTGAGCAGGCCACCATAAATGGATGAACAAATTGGGATGAAGGTACCATTAGGATTGGAGAACCGAGGAAAACTAAGATTAGTATGTAAAATGCCTGCTACAAGTTTCCATATAATTGTTAGAAGTGGGTCAAATATTGGTTTTGAGCTCCCTGACAGCCAAAATAAAAAAGAAAAACATAATTAACTTGTATGATATTCATGGCTCATGGTTTGCAAACAAAATAATTTGTCAGTAAAAGACTAGATTAACTAGATTTTTCTTGTACAGAGAACAGAAATAAATGCCTCCCTTGTGTACTCATCAAGAGACCCCTGTCTGATATAGTTGGAAATATCCCAAACAAAACTTGCTGTTTTAAAATGTGCTTGCTTTGCTAAGTCATTTTGTATTCATAGAAGTAGCACTGGGAATGGCTATTGCTTCAAGGTCAGACACTACTTTTCTGTTCCCCACTGGCCTCCCATGGCAGGTAGAGCAATCTTCTGTGCACAGTAGGTTCCCCGTCTGTGCTTTTACCTGATTTACTCTTAATTAGGTGTCTGTTGGATCCCAGAGCCCTGTATCTCATACTCCATTGTATCTAAGAAACATCGTATGACTTTAAAAATTGCTGATATATAACTGAGAGGCAAAATAATTAGTGAGGAAAATCAAAACAATTCCTCCTAAATTTATGGGCGTTCTTACAGAGATATCTTTTAGGGAGTAAGAATTACCATAAATCCCCAGGGTGAACAATAGCACTAAAAGCAAAGAAGCCAAGAGTCAGCAAAAATCTTTGGCAGTGCACACACTTTGTTTTTTTGGAAGACAAAAGGAACTGCCATCAAGTTGATTTTAATGGGTCAGCTACTTGCCCCCTCTTCTTCAGCCTCTTCCCATGCCCCATCCTGCTACTTGTGGAATTGGAGGTGGGATCTTCCTGGGGTGTCCAAAGAGTGATAACATCCCTATCGATTACTTCCAACTGCTTGCAAAGAGAACATGATTGGAAAGGAGGTGCTTTCTTTGTCAGGATTACAGCACCAGTGATGCACAAACAAGCCAAACCCAGGTTGATTGTTGGGGGGACTCTTATCTCCCACTGCATACAGAAGAGCACGCATTCATGTAATAAACAGGCATCTCTCCCTCACACCTCCATCACTTCTTCTCTAGGGGAGCAGAGACTTACTTGATTGGTTAGTTTGGGAGAAGGATCCAGGCATCCCTGGCATGGCTGCTTTCTGTTTTTCTCTTTCTTCCTTCCTGCCTGCAAAAAGCACAGCTCTACTACTCAGTGCTGTAGGAGTAGAGTTGTTTTCATGTTTTCAATTTTTTTTTTCTGGGGTGGGCTCCATGGGGAAGCCAGCAGGCTTTCAGCACTCTGTGTGACCAGGTAGAGAAGTCTGCCCAGTTCTAATGTGCAATACTAGGAAACTCATTGCTGCTCTTCATTTAAGTCTTGTTCTCCAACACCTGTTATCTGTAGGGAAGGGAACCTTTAAAATCTCACCTCCTGAATCCTTTGCTTATTTCTAAGTTGGTCTTGCACCAGGGCAGGAAAGAGGTATCCAGTATTGAGACCTCTAAAACTCCAACACTGAGTATGATCAGGAAGCTGCACAGATATGACTTAAGAAAGCAGGCCGTGGGCCGTGGCTCACAACAGAATAGCCCACAGGAGGACTGAAGGTGGCTAGTGGGTCTTCTCAAAGTGTCACAGGTTATACGAGAGAGGCCACCACAAACCGAGAAGAAGAAAGCAGGTGGTTAGTGTTGGTGGAAGCCCAAGTCTCTCAGTGAAAATTTAGGAGCAAGCAGGACTAGAAACAGGGAGGGAACCTGTAATAGACAAGTATATTTTTGCCTGTTGAGCCTATGGTTTTTCTTCTTCTGGTAACCACACCCAATTTCCTTTGGGAAGCAACTAGTCTTTTAGAGAATATGGAGTTCCTCCTACCTTTCTCCAGGGGAGGGTATCTAGTCAGTGAATTTCAATTCTGGAACATTTATGGAACTATTGGGAAAGGTAAGTTATTTGCCTTGGCACAAGTAGTCTGGGAAGATGCAAGTCTGAGGTCACCAATGACCATCTGACCACCAAGAGGGAGCACGACTGAGGATGCATCAATATGAAACCAACATGGAGGAAAACAGAGTTAGAAGTGAGTACAATACCTGTATCCAGATATGCCAGGAGCTGTCTACTGGACTTCTTAATTGACAGATACATTCCCTTTTGCTTAAACCATTTGCTATGGTCTGAATGTTTGCCTTCCCCCAAAATTCATTTGTTGAAATTCAAATCCCCAAGGGAATTGTATTAGTCCCTTTCCATACTGCTATAAAGAACTGCCTGAGACTGGATAATTTAAGGGAAAGAGGTTTAATTGATTCACAGTTCAGCATGGCTGGGGAGACCTCAGGAAACTTACAATCGTGGCAGAAGGTGAAGGGGAAACAAGGCACCTTTTTTACAAGGTGGCAGGAAGGAGAAGTGCTGAGTGAAGGGGGAAGAGCTGCTTATAAAACCATCAGACCTTGTGAGAGAATTCACTCACTATCATGAGAACAGCATGTGGAAAACCACCCCATGATTCAATTATCTCTATCTGGTTTCTCCCTTGACACGTGGGGATTATGGGGATTATGATGATTACAATTGAAGATGAAATTTGGGTGGGGACACGAAGCCTAACCATATAATTCCACCCCGGCCCCTCTAAAATCTCATGGCCCTTTCACATTTCAAAACCAATCATGCCTTCCCAACAGTTCCTCAAATCTTAATTCATTTCAGCATTAAGCCAAAATTCCAAATCCAAAATCTCGTCTGAGAAAAGGCAAGTACCTTCTGCCCATGAGCCTGTCAAATCAAAAGCAAGTTAATCACTTCCTAGATACAATGCAGGTACAGGCTTTGGGTAAATACATCCATTCCAAATAGGAGAAATTGACCAAAACAATGGGACTATAAGCCCCATGCAAATCTGAAATCCAGTGGGGCAGTCAAATCTTAAAGCTCTGAAATGATCTCCTTTGACATCGTGTCTCACATCCAGGTCACACTGATGCAAGAGGTGGGTTCCCATGGTATGGGGAAACTCTGCTCCTGTGACTTTGCAGGGTACAGCCCCACTCCTGGCTGCTTTCATGGGCTGGCATTGAGTGCCTGTGGCTTTTCCAGGTGCATGCTGCAAGCTGTCGGTGGATCTACTATTCTGGGGTCTGGAGGACAGTGGCCCTCATCTCACAGCTCTACAAGGCAGGGCCCCAGTGGGGATGCTGTGTGGGGGTTCTGAGCCCACATTTCTCTTCCACACTACCTTAGCAGAGGTTCTCCATGAGGGCTCCACCCCTGCAGCAAACATCTGCCTGGACAACTAGGTGTTTTCATACATCCTCTGAAATCTAGGTGGAAGTTCCCAAACCTCAATTATTGACTTCTTTGCACCCACAGGACCGACACTATGTGGAAGCTGTCAAGGCTTGGGGCTTGCACCCTCTGAAGCAATGATTTGAGCTGTATGTTTGCCCCTTTCAGCCATGGCTGGGACACAGGGCACCAAGTCCTGAGACTGCACAAAGCAGCAAGGTCTTGAGCCATGCCAGAAAACAACATTTTTCCCCTAGGCCTTCAGGCCTGTGATGAGAGGGGCTGCCATAAAGACCTCTGACATGCCCTGGAAACATACCTCCCATTGTTTTGGTGATTAACATTTTGTTCCTCGTTACTTATGCAAATTTCTGAAGCTGGCTTGAATTTCTCCTCAGAAAATGTTTTTTTTCTTTTCTATTGTATTGTCAGTCTGCAAATTTTCCAAACTTTTGTGCTCTGCTTCCCTTTTAAACATAAATTCTAATTCCAAACCATCTCTTTTGGAATGCATAAAACTGAATGCTTTTAAGAGCACCCAATTCACCTCTTGAACACTTTGCTGCTTATAAATTTCTTCTGCCAGATACCCTAAATTATCTGTCTCAAGTTTAAATTTCCAGAGATCTCTAAGGCAGGGTCAAAATGCTGCCAGTCTCTTTGCTAAAGCATAGCAATAATCACATTTATTCCAGTTCCCAAGAAGTTCCTAATCTTTATCTGACACCACTTCAGCCTGGACTTCATTGTCCATTTCACTATCAGCATTTGGTCCAAGGAATTCTATAGGTTGCTAGGAAGTTACACACTTTCTCACTGTTCCAACCTCTGCCTGTTACCCAGTTTCAAAGTTGCTTCAACATTTTTGGGTATCTTTATATCAGCACCTGACTCTCTATGGTACTAATTTACTGTATTAGTCTGTTTCCATACTGCTATAAAGAACTGCCTGAGACTGGGTAATTTATAAAGGAAAGAGGTTTAATTGACTCACAGTTCAGCATGGCTGGGGAGGTCTCAGGAAACTTACAATCATGGTGGAAGGTGAAAGGGAAGCAAGGCACCTTCTTTACAAGGTGGCAGGAAAAAGAAGTGCCAAGTGAAGGGAAGAGAGTCTCATAAAACTATCAGATATTGTGAGAACTCACTCACTTTCATGAGAGCAGCATGGGGGAAATTTTCTTCATGATTCAATTACCTCCATCTGGTCTCTCCCTTGACATGTGGAGATTGTGGGGCTTACAATTCAAGATGAGATTTGGGTGGGGACAAAAACCCTAACCATATCAATGATGGTATCAAAATGTGAAGCCTTTGGTAAGTGATTAGGTCATGAGATTAGAGCCCTCATAAATGGAATTAGTGCTCCTAAAAGAGACACCAGAGAGCTGGCTAGTCTCTTCCACCATGTGGGGACACAGTGAGGAGGCACCATCTATGAGCCAGGAAGAAAGTCCTCACCAGACACCAACTATTCTTCTGCTTTTATCTTGGACTTCCCAGAACTGTAAAAAATAAATTTTTGTGGTCTATAAACCACTCAGTCTATGGTATTTTGGTATAACAGCCTGAATGGATGGATTAAGACACCAGTTTAAATCATTTTTTCCACTAAAAACTAAAACAGTTAAAATAAATGAAGAAATTAAATGAGAACTATGCTTGTTTGGAAGGAGATAGAATCCATACATTTATTCTTCATTGCACCATTATTCACTGAACAGTTGCCATAAGCCAGGTTCTGTGCTGGGCCCTGGCAGTACAGAGATGAATAAAGCACAATTCTTGCCCTTAGAAGCTCACAGACTAGCTAGAGAGACAGACAGATGAGGAGGGGACCATAGAGTGATATGGTATGTGAGATAGGAGAGGCACGTGGGTCGGGGGCATGGTGACTCAGGAGAGGCAACCCATTCCTGGGAGGGATCAATGAATTGAGACTTACAAATGAGCAGGATTTAGGAAAGCTGAGAAAAATAAAGTGTCGTCTGTGATGATACAGAGAAAGGAGAGGTCAGGGTGAGGTATGTAATAATGATGAAGATGAGGATAATTAGTGTTATATCTAGTTAACCATTTATCGAGTGCTTATCATACATTCTGCCCTGGTCCAAGTTCTTTGTATATACAATGTCATTTGATCCTCATGGTGATTCCATGAGGTAGGTACCTATTTTACTGGTAAGAAGGCGTTAGGGAAGTTGACAGAAACCACATAGCAGGCCAGGGCTGCTGGGATATAAGACAAAAACATGGAGTGTTGATAGACGAAACTCTTGAGAATTTGTTTTGGGTTTGGATTGTGAGAGGTTTTAAATATAACACAAAGAGCTCAATTAGAGGACAGAAAGTACACTGTTATTGCTGAGTGCCTACTATATTCCAGTTACATATCTGATCTGATCAAATTTTTACAACTCCCCTATTTGATAAGCATTATTAGCCACATTCTTACTAAAAAAACTCAGACATATTTTTATTTTCCTAAATCACTCTACTAGTAAGTGGCAAAAAGTAAAAAAGGCTGGCCCCTGAACACATTTTTTAACTGCTATATTATTGTCCATTTCCTCTTTCTGGTAAATATTTTTAATCCTTTTTCCCCCTTCTAATCAACTGATGAAAGCTATCATTTCTCTCTGCAGAAACATACATGGAACTATATACAAACAAACTTTTGCTTGTAATTAATTTTGTTGCATGGGAATTTCATTTTTTTTTCATATGGACAGACCATACAAACAAGTCTTACATAAAATTATTTGTCTCATTTCCTGCCCCCCTCCACAAAATATTACTGCTTTTTTCCTTGAAAAAGCAATAAATCCAAATTTTGCAAATGAATGAAAAATGTAAATTGAAATTCTGCTGAAATGTAACATTTCAGTGAGGAGCCTGCTGTTGTTTGACTTAAAAAAAGAAATAGAAATGTTGGAGCTGTCTTTGCATGACAGCATCATTTTAGCAATCTAATCATTTCAGCATTGTTTTTTTGGCAACAAGTCCCTAAACTGTGACTCAGAAAGGTAAGTAACAAACACTGTTATTGTTCCCAGAACTCACTTTGCCACACAAGGTCAGATGTGTGTCAAGGAGGCCCAGAATCCTCTAAGACTCTTTGAGTTTAATTTATTTTGTATAATCCCCTTTGTCCTAGAGTTAATGAGGTTGGCTCTGCATTCTTGATGCCATCTGTGTCAGCAAGTCGAGGATTATGAATCCAGTTCAATCGTAAGGCTGTCTACACACTAGTAAACCTCAGAAGAACTCTGCTACATTTCCTGGTATCTACAGATTTCTGCTTATGGAGAAACAGACAAGGTTTTGTCACTATGTACAACAGTCTACAAAAACAGTTTTTCTTGACTGGGAAATAGGATAATTTTCCACCTCCTAGTTCTTCCAGAAGAGTGAAAATGGCTGAAATGCTAGGAACTTTTTGGCAGTGTCCGTAATGGTGAATGCTGGGCATAAATTCAAACCGCTACTTTATCCAACTTGCCAAAAATGTCCACCAAGAATTTCTCCCTGTCAGATTATTCTGAGAAAGAGCATTTTTAATCTGCAAAGTAATAATAACAATAATGATAATAATGACTGTCTGTCAGAAGTTCCATTGAGTGCTTTAAGACTTATCCTCTAGAATCTGGTAAGACTCCCCAGATAAGGTCTTCTGAGTTCTCTTCCTGTTTCTTGGTAAGTACTAAAAACGTGGTTCAAGGAGAGGATAACAGGAAGTTCTCTGAGTTTGATCGGCTGGATCTGACACTCGAGCACACCAATATAGAAAGCAACCAAGGGGCAATGTCATCTGATGCTTTTTTCTTCACTGCATCCTTTATCTTACAATTTAGTGCTTCAGCAACAGCCATTAATTTGGCTCATGATTTTATGCATTGGCGGTTTGGGCTGGGCTCAGCTGGTGGTTCTTCTGGTCTGAGCTGGGCTCAGTTGATCTCCACTGGGCTCATTTATGCATCTGCAGTCCTGCTGGTGGATTGGCAAGGGCATGCAGGTTTGTGGTCTTGATTGTTGACATGTCTGAGCTCACTCTCCATGTTGGTTTCTTATCCTCCAGGTGGTTAGCCTGGGCTTGTTCACATGGTGACTGGCTTCCGTGAAGAGCCAGAGAGCAAGCCTGTGAGAAGAACACCAAGCACTTTTAAGTATTTGTTTTTGTTCCTTTGCTCCTGTCCTACTAGTCAAAGCAAGGTACTAGTCAGCCCATATTCAAGGCATGGACCCAAGCTCTAGTCAGCCCACATTCAAGGCATGGACCCAAGCTCCAATCATTGGTGAGAAACGCTATCTTGTGAGGCTGTGGGTATGGGAAGGAGATGAATCTGTGGCTATTTTTCTAATCTACCATATTTGCAAAACACAAAAGCCTTTTAAGAGTTAAGGGGCCAATATATTATACCTTTCTCCCACTTTTGAGTTTAGAGCCAGTTGAGAGAAGTACATAGGGGTCAAATGGGGCAGATCAAATACCAGCTTAATTATTGGTGAAGTTAGAATGGGAACCCATTTTGTATCTGTAGTCTGAACAGACTTTCTATAATCCTCTCTCTCCTAGAATGAAAGTAGCCATCTGGAATTTAAGCTGTCCCCCTGCAGGAGCTTAAAAATGTGTGTGTGTTTTGAGTAGGTGGATGCCAGAGAGAAAAAAAACACAAGGAAGAGGGCCAGGTAGAGATTCTTCTCCTCTGCTCTGTAGGGAAAAATTGTATCACTGAATGCTAGATACTTCCTTTCCCATCATGAGAATAAAGAAAAAAGTGGAAAGAGAGGGAAAATGTTACTATTTATAAGCCTAGGTGGGAATGCTATGAGAGGGGGAAAAATGGTCCCCCTTATCCCAGATGTGTTTCCAAGCAATGAAGGTATTTATGTTTGTGTGTGCCCTGAGTGTCATTTTTTCCCTCTAGGTAATGGCAGTGAGACCATTTATCACTGTGAACATGTGGATGGTAACAGAAGATTCCAAATGGGATTTGCAAAATAGGACTTCTTCATTGACAGTGTAAGTGAAAATAGATTAAAAAAAAACACAGGAATTAGCTTCATTGAAATACATCAGTAGTTACATACTGTTGCAAGATGAAGGGAAATGGCTGCCAATTCCATGACCTATTTCAAAATACTGGAGAAAATGTGATGTTTTGGGAGTGAATGCTGTGTAACAGAGGTGATGCTTCTATTTTTTTTTTTCTAGTGTTCCGAGACCCAAAGTAGCTTGACCATGCCCTAAAATGAAGTTGTTTATGTGGTTTTTATCTTTCCTTGGCAATTCCATGAGCACTTGTTGGGGGTTGAATTTTCATGGTCACAACAGTCCTCAAAACTAAGGTTTGGGTGGGGTACAGTGGCTCACATCTGTAATCCCAGCACTTTGGGAGGCCGAAGCAGGCAGATCACCTGAGGTCAAGAGCTTGAGAGCAGCCTGGCCAACATGGTGAAACCCTAAAAATACAAAAATTGGCTGGGCGTGGTGGCAGGTGCCTGTAATTCCAGCTACTTGGGGAACTGAGGCGAGAGAATCACTTGAGCTCGGGAGGTGGAGGTTGCAGTCAGCCGAGATCATGCCATTGCACTCCAGCCTGGGCAACAGAGTGGGACTCTGCCTCCACAAACAAACAAACAAACAACAAAACAAAACAAAACAAAAACAACTCAGGTTTGTAAAGATGTTAATTTGCTTTATTCCTATATAAAAGAGTGTCTTAGCTCTCATGCCTCCAATTCCATAAGGGCAAAAAACTTAATCTTGTAAAACCAAGTAGGCTCAGCCAAGTCTAGTTTAATACTTAGTCTCTTTGGGACAAAAACACAATTCACTCAAGATGCTTAGCTTCTCCTTTTTCCTTTTTTCTCTTCCAGGGATGGGAATCAGATGGGCATAGGGCATCTGGTCCATGATCATCCTTTCTTCGTGCTGGTCTCCGATGAAATATCTGAAGAAGGTAGGTCCCTGTCACCATGTGTTGACATTTGCCTCTGGGGTGTCTGTGGTCCTATGTGGTCTCCCACTGACAGGCCATGCTCTCTGTTTCTTCCTCATCCTGCCTCAGGCCCCTTTGGGCCAGTTACAGTGTCTCATCCCTTCTGCTCTCCCCTCAATGGCTTTGCAACTCTTAGTGTCTTTTCTCCCCATTTCCCCACTGGGGTGCATGGGACATCACTCTATGAGGCCTCTCTCAGGCCCATCCACCAAGATTCCTTCCTCTGCCATTGTTAACTCTACCACTCTTGTGCCTTGCTGGGAACAACCTCTCTGCAAGGCTTGCAGACTCCCCAAGGGATCCTGGAGGGGAAGATACAGATATTTTATGCTCTGAGATCTACCCAAGCCATTTAGTGTTTCTGTGAATCCTCTCTCCTTTCCAGATTTAACTGGAAAGGGCAAGAGTGTGAATGTAGTGCTTTCCTCTGGAACTTACTTCAATAACCAACTCTCTTACTTCCCTCTTCCAAATGTATGGTAACCTATCTCCTTTTCTTAGCCCATGTAATACATGTTACCTCTCCTCTTAGGCTTCTTTATCATTTATTTAATGCCTATGCCTTCTTTTGTTCAAAGATCAGCTCTCTTGATTATTCTCTCAAGGCTTTTAAGACTGCTGTCACTGTTATGCCTGTAAACCTGGCATTCTAAAACCCAGCTGAGTTTTGTTTTAGGCTATATCATCATTTTCCACTGAGGGTAGGACAAAGAGAAAGTTTTTACTGCTGGTTGACATGGTGCAGGGGGTGAAGGGCAGGACACGGAAGTACAGGGGAAGAGCATTTTAGTTAATGTCACAGAGTTTAATTCTCCCATAGAAACTTCTACATCTTCCAGATAAGCCTTCTGTGGTGGGTCAAATACAAGTTTTAGTATTATTGCAGTTTTTTCAAGTTAAGAATCATTCCCACCAAACATCCAGCTAGAGGCAGTAGTAGGTTGATGTAGTTACTTCTGGGGCAGGAGAGGGGGCTGGTTGTGCTGTGGTCTGGGAAGTGGATCACCATAGGAGATAGAGGAGCTGACGCCAGCACCGGGAAATGGGATTGGTGCCTCCAGCATTGAGCTGAAGAGAACAGACAACTGTTCGTAGCTCCGCAGCAGCCTAGGGCAACCACATTAGCTTCATCAGCCGTTCCATGTCACCTATAGCACCAAGATATCATCCATTTGTTCACCAGTAAATTTCTCTCCCAATAATGGAACACAGGAACCCACTCCTCCAAGATTCAGGAGAGTAGTGGGCAAGATGCTACAGCTTTGAGGTGCAGTGCTGTGCTCTCAGGTAGGTGAAAAAAGATTTGCATGTTGGTTTCCCCTTTCCCAGCTGTGTGGCCTTGGGAAAGCTACTTAATCTTTCTAGGCCTCAGTCTTTTAAAAATCTGAAACATGTGAAGAATGACAGAATATCTAGTGTGTGTGTTTGTGTGTGTGTGTGAAAAGAATTAAGTGAACTGTGATATGTATAGTCCTTGGCAGAAGGCCTGGTACTTAATAAGCACTCAATGAAGGAAAGCCATTATTCTTGCTGTGTTGTTTTTTAATTGTTATTGTTGTTGCCATTGTTATTTAGGAGAGCACTGTAGACTTGTAGACTTTGCTTTGAGCATTCTTTTTCCAATGACTCATACTGTCCAATGTTAGATTAAGAATGGACAAAGGTCAGGAGACAATTCAGTTAGGTTGGCTCTAAGCTTTCTGTGGCAAGATCACAGTCTTTCAAGAGGACAGCCACGTTGGAGCTCTGCCATGTTTGGTGATGAAAGTATGGGAAAGGTGAGCTTTGCTGACAATTTCAAGGTCAAACTAGGACTGACATAGACTGGCCATGTTGGAGTCATAATTGCAGGTAGGTTTTTTCTTGCCTATCACTTTGAGATTATATTCTAAATACCATAAAATGATGACCATGATTATAGCACTTAAGAGGAAAACAGTACCTTAACAATATAATTTGACATAAAAATGTTTTCCCAGATAGGCAATTTACAATGTAGCATGAGGGAAATTTATGAAATAAAAATTTATGTCTTGTTTTTAGAGAACTTGGAACCATCCATGTAATAACCCCAGGGCTCCATAGGTTACGTATTAAGAATTTCTTTTGCTGGTTTCTCTGAGCACCAACATTCTGTGCCATCATCTGTCCCATAGGGTATCCAGCCCAGTGCTATAGACATACATAGTAGATGTATAATAAATGTATAATAAGTGTGTAGTATATGCCCACTAAACTGAATTGAAAAGTCTTCAGGACTCAAAATTATCCAATTGTAATGGGTAATGAGAAGCAATGAAACAGATGCATCCAGGGTTTCCCTCTCCAATTAGATTACATGGTAACTGTCTTGGACATGCCAGACTGAAGGTTTATTACTGAATTATCAGTCTGTGCTGAGCTCTGCCAGAGGTAAGATGAGAGAGCTCAGGAAATAAAGCCAAAGATGGGAAACTGGGAAGATGGCCAGTTGGTGCATCAAGGTAGAGGGGTAAGGCTGGAGCCAGGGCCTTAGAGAAAGCGTGAGAAAGGCAGGGGCAAGTGGGGCAGCACTGAGGGACACAGAGATGATCGGGCTGGATCTGAGAAATGTATTACTTGCCCTCTGAATGAGGGCAACTGGGAGAAACAGTTGTGATGGGAGGAAAGTAGAGTCCCCTCTTCTTATTTCTCGATGAGCAGAGCATTTTGACAATCTAGTGATAATAAAATACCTCCATGGGGGAGATGCTGGCTTCCCCAACTAGAAAGACATTCTCTACTGACCAAGAGCAGCTACTCAGGATATCCCTGGGCTGAGTTTTGTGCAAAGGCTCATGAGAAGGGCTGGGGCTGGCCCACAGTTGGCTGCTGATGTTGGTTGAATGGAGGCAGAGGGTGCATCTGTATGATCTGCTGTCCTGTGCACTTAGGGCCCAGGAACTGGCAGGCAAGGTCAGAAGGACATGTGTTGCTAAGAAAATCCACCCAGCATGCACTTTTTATTACACCCAAATATAGGTCATGTTGGGAGGGTGCTTGGGGAAGCAAAAGGTCATTGTGTGGCTGAAATCTATAGGCAGGAGCTGTCAGCCTTGGGTGCCTCCTCACCCTGTCTGGCAGCAGCCGCTACAAAGCAAGACATGAGTCCTTCCCATTAGCCTCCCCTTCTCCCACCAGTCTCATTACCCTCTGCTCATCCCCTGGATTCTGAATCAAGTTCAGACTGCCTGCACAGCAGGGTTGCCAGCTGGTTTGACTTTATTCTGTGATTCACTGTCTAGCAGAGGGAGTTTCTCTGGTAAGCCTATTGAGGCTGGAAACTTAACCCTCCAAAATCTCCTTTATAAAAAGCAAACGCATGAGGGAGTACCCCCTGGTCTTGCCTGGCAGATGCAAAATGTTCCCAGCAGCCAGATCAGATGTCCTTATGTGCAACAGTGCCATAAGTGACCCCAGCTCCTCAAACACAGCTCCAGGGCTGTGGGTATTAGGAGACAGTCTACAGATTCAACCTCAAAGAGTTTCCACTGGTGTTGGCTAACATGGGCCCATCTCTGTGACTGCTTAGGAGCCAGATGGGGCCATTTGGAAAGGTCTGGCCAGCTGTGTGATATCAGTCAACTTACCTGCCCTCTCTGACCCTGGATTTGTAATCTGTGAAATGGAGACTGTACTGCACACGTTCAGCAGTGCTGGGATTCCAAATGGGATGCAGGTTAAGCATTCGAAGGCATCCTTGCTCATGGCAGTCCCTAGTGCATGCTTTGCTATTGTTTTCCTTTATTTTTAAATTGTCACCCACCTGCCTGTCTCCTGTCGTGAACTCCTTAGCTATGTTTAACGGAGAGAGAGTTGGCCAAGATCCCCAGCCCCTGAAAAGTTCTTTAAGATCCACGATCACCCCAATAGGAAAGAGAATAGTTGAGGCCGTGGCTGCCCTTGATTTCTCACTGGGTCTTTGTTGGCCTCAGGTTTCTGTGAGATTTCACTGGGGTGAGCTGGACTGGGCCAGTAGTGAATGTTGAGACTGCAAGAGCTACTTTTGTCTGGGCTAGAGGGGAAGGCAACTATTCTGGGGGCTTGACTTTGTCCCTTTCCTCTGGATTCCTAAGTCTTTCTAGTTTTTCCTTCAAGGATGGGAGTTTCTGGGATGGTGATGGTGGTGATTCTACTTTTTGGCACCTTCAGCTGCTTTGGGAGAGCACTTCCAAGATGCAAAGCAATCCCCAAAGCAGGAATTCCAAGGAGCACCTTCTAGCAAGAAAAAACTCTAACCTCTTTTGAGTTTCCTCTTAGGAACTCCACTCCCCAGTCCCTGAGGCCAATCCTGTCACCTCCATGTCTCCTATGAGTAATGCCCTGCACAGGTCTCCAGGCAGATGTCCCCCACCCTGGCTGCACTTTGGAATCACTTAGGGAGCCTTAAGAAGACACTACATGAGACCCACCCTAGACCATCCAGTTGGAGTCTCTGGGAGTGGGCTAGGAGAACCGTATTTTAAAAATCTTTGCCTGGGTGTGGTGGTTTACACCTGTAATCCCAGCACTTTGTGAGGCCAAGGTGGGTGGATCATGAGGTCAAGAGTTTGAGACCAGCTTGACCAGCATGGTGAAACCCCATCTCTATTAAAAATGTAAAATTTAGCTGGGTGTGATGGTGCATGCTTGTAGTCCCAGCTTCTCAGGAGGCTGAGGTAGGAGAATTGCTAGAATCCGGGAGGCGGAGGTTGCAGTGAGCCGAGATCGTGCCACTACACTCCAGCCTGGGTGACAGAGCAAGACTCCATTTCGGGACAGGGTGGTGTGTGGGGGGTGTGGTGGGGAAATCTTTCCAGATGATTCCAATCTGCAGCCATGGTCAAGCACTTCAGGGCTGGAGAATGTAAAGACTTTCTCTGAGTCAGTTCTCCCTGACTACAACTCATTCCTACTTGGGTCTGAAGGAGGTCTGGCTTTGCCTCCCTGTCTGGCACATGCTTTGCACCTGGCCTGTCTGAATTGCATGTGTTTTCAGGAGACCTCTCAGGGGCCTGGAGATGGTTGAGTCCAGGGGTATAGACAAAGAGGAACTAAAGCTAGCCTTCACTGATTACAGTTTCAAACATCTTCACATAAGAGTGTGTGTGTGTGTGTGTGTGTAGATGATAGAGATGGATAGAAAGATAAATAGATTATATAGAGATGAGAGAGAGAGAGAGAGATGGTAAAGGTAGATAGATTCTTCTACTCTTCTTTTTAACATGTGAGCTACCTAAAGGAAATTCATGCTTCCCCTGCTCCCTGATGCTTCAGTTTTTATAGGGGGCCTAATCCCGCAAGTCACACTGCACGCTTGCCTACTGTCGAAGGGTTCTATATAAAATGGCCACATCCCTCAATATTTCCACTTCCACTGCTTGATTCTTGTTTCATTTGTTTTCCTCCTGGGCACTTATTGCCACCTGAACATTCTATCTTCTCCCCCTGTCTCTGAAATAAACATTAAAAAATGTTTTTATTGTCTTCCTTCATTAGACTGTAAGCTCCATGAGGTCAAAAATTTTATTTTTTGTTCATGCTGTATCTTGAGGATCTAGATATATCACACAGTAGATCCTTCATAAATATCAGAAAATCTCACAATTTTTTGAGCGAACAAATGAAGATTTGCTCTTCATAGTCTGGCCTGGTTGCTGTAAAGGAAAGATATAGGAAGTTGATAGCCAAATATGGATCAAAACATTAACTTAATTAAAAGGCTAGATGAGCGTCTTATAATCTCTGAACACCCCAATCATGAATGTGGTGGGGGTCTTCATGCCCCAGCCCTTTTCTCAGTGCATCCAGAGACAAGCACAAGGGTCCTTTTAAATTTTAAAGTTGACGATTATAGGCAAATAGATCCTGTAAATGAAGAACCCTCGTTGTTCCTTTCCTCTGTGTAAAGCTAGCAGAGTCATTTGCCCAAGGTCACGTGGTTAGTTAGCTATAAAACTAGGATTCAAAGTGTGTGCCCAGGATGAGGCTCAGCTCATAACCTGCATTGCACCAAGTACCATAAAGTTTGGTCACCCACCTGGGTATTACCAAAAGGCTCTCTCTCTACATGTTTCTTTTTGCTCCCCTAAATTTCTCTTTTTGTCTCTCTCCTGAAATCCGTACCTCAATGCACAAGATGTTGGGAATCTCAACCAATGGCAGACCTCTTGTAGGGGCAGTGTGATTTGCGGGATTAGGCCCCCTATAAAAACTGAAGCACCAGGGAGCAGGGAAGCATGAATTTCCTTTAGGTAGCTCACATGTTAGAAAGAAGAGTAGAAGAGTCTATCTACCTTTACCATCTCTCTCTCTCTCTCATCTCTATATAATCTATTTATCTTTTTTTTTTTTTTTTTTTTTGAGACAGAGTCTCGCTCTGTCGCCCAGGCTGGAGTGCAGTGGCCGGATCTCAGCTCACTGCAAGCTCCGCCTCCCGGGTTTACGCCATTCTCCTGCCTCAGCCTCCCGAGTAGCTGGGACTATAGGCGCCCGCCACCTCGTCCGGCTAGTTTTTTTTGTATTTTTTAGTAGAGAGGGAGTTTCACCATGTTAGCCAGGATGGTGTCGATCTCCTGACCTCGTGATCCACCCGTCTTGGCCTCCCAAAGTGCTGGGATTACAGGCTTGAGCCACCGCGCCCGGCATCTATTTATCTTTCTATCCATCTCTATCATCTACACACACACACACACACACACACACACACACTCATATTTTAATGCACCATCAGATAAAACACTTTCTTCTTCCCTAGGAAAGACAAACAAGGGGAGGAGAAAGGTCAGGAAGTTTTTTTCTACTTGAAGGAAACATCTGGCATAGGAAAGAAGCACCTTATGTACCCCCAACCACATGCACTATTTCTAAAACCCAAAATGCCTCTGAAAGTCAAATACAAGCCTGAGAGGTGAAACATTTGATTAAGGACCCACAGCTAGCAAGGGATTTTCACCAGGGATGTCTTGCCGAAAGTCTGCATTTTCTCTGACTGCCAAGCTGCCTCTCGGATAATCTATTTGATGCATACATACTAAGATGTCAGTCAAGGTCTGGGTTAAGAAAGAAGGTGATCTTCATGGATGGGCTTCCGCTGGATGGATCTCAGCCTTCTTAAGCTTCTTGGTCAAGATCTGCATAGAAATGCAGAAACCGCTTTGATGGGGGTTGGTGGGCGTGGCTAGTAAAACTGTGGAATCCCTATTAACCTCAATAGGGAAGCCAGAAGGTTCAAGAAGAGACCCAGAGTCACCATATGAGACATGGGGTTTCTTTTCTTTTCTCTTTCTTTTCTTTTCTTTTTTTTTTTTTTTTTTTTGGGATGGAGTCTCACTCTGTCGCCCAGGCTGGAGTGCAGTGGCGCATCTTGGCTCACTGCAAGCTCACCTCCTGGGTTCACACCATTCTCCTGCTTCAGCCTCCCGAGTAGCTGAGATTACAGGCATGTGCCACCATGCCTGGCTAATTTTTTTTTCTTTTTTGTATTTTTAGCAGAGACGGGGTTTCACCATATTGGTCAGGCTGGCCTCAAACTCCTGACCTCGTGATCCGCTTGCCTTGGCCTCTCAAAGTGTTGGGATTACAGACATGGGCCACCCTGCCTGGCCGAGACTTGGGATTTCATCAGGGGATTACACACAGGGGATAGTCCAACGGCAGCGGGCTGGACAGGACAGGCTGGACAGGAGAATCACCTTACATATAGAAACGGTCCAGTGGAGGTGGGCTGGACAAGATAACTGCATTGCCCGATGGTGGTGGGCTAGGCAGGAAAACTGCAGCCACTTGCAAACAGCATGCAGTTGATATAGCATTTTCACTTAATACCCTCCCCTTAACGACCTCCACCTGGCAACCTTCATTTAACCCAAAACTCAGGCTGTCAATTCCCTGTACGACCTGTGATCCAAAGGACAGGCTGGGAGCCAGATGTTCCTCACAGAGCAGGAATGAATCTCTGGGTTGGCTATGCCTGGATTCCCTAGCTTGGAACATACATTCAGGTGTGTCCTGCCGTACAGGGTCATCCTAAGGGTGTGCTTGTTATTACCCTCAGGCATGTTTAGCATACAGGGTGTTACTAGCAAAAATTATCTCCAGTGCAGGACACTGTTTTTTGTACCTATTTGTGGAAATCAATCAAGCCCCTCCTATTTCTTCTTCAGTAGGGGAGATGGATTTGGTTCAGTAAATAAAAGCTCGGGGTTGGATAGGAGATGAAAATTGGCTTGTCCAACCCTTTGGTGATAATGATCAATGATACCTACCATTTATTCAACACTATACAACGGGCACTGTGTCAAGAACTTTGATGTCATTG